ACACTTGCAGTAGAAAGATGCCGATTCCAGGTTGCAGGTCCAGTGGACGCTGTAGGAGTTGATGGCGACAATTGCCCCTAGCAGGAGTGATGCAGAAAGCCAGTTAGTAGGCATGAGGAAGTGAGCCGGAGAGTAGATGAATGTGAACGAGGTGATGAGTGAGTGAGTGTGAGTGAGTGAGTGAGTGAGTGAGTGAGTGAGTGTGAGTGAGTGAGTGAGTGAGTGAGTGTGAGTGAGTGAGTGAGTGAGTGTGAGTGAGTGAGTGAGTGTGAGTGATTGAGTGTGAGTGAGTGTGAGTGAGTGAGTGTGAGTGAGCGAGTGAGTGAGTGAGTGACTGAGTGTGTGTGTGCGAGTGAGTGAGTGAGTGAGTGAGTGAGTGAGTGAGTGAGTGAGTGAGTGAGTGAGTGAGTGAGATTGAGTGAGTGAGTGAGTGAGTGAGTGAGATTGAGTGAACAAAGTAGTCAGCAAGCAGGTAAATTTACGACTTAGGAATCTAATTATTAAACTACTTATATTAATTGATTATCATATCTTTATGCTTTTTGCTACATGGCTTGTCCATGCTATTTATAGTAAAGGCTATAACATTCATGTTAATATCTACCACATCGCATTATTACCTTCGACGTTGCGCTTGACAGAGCTTGAAACAGATTCATTAAGGCCCACATATTTCATCGCACCAGATTATAAATAAGACGCACTCACACACACAACACAAGGCGACCATCCTCTCACTACAAGGAGCAGGTGGAGCCACACACTGCCAGTAGTGAAACAGTGTGCTGTAGCGAGCGATGGTCAATGCAACTATGGCCTGCTTCAGTGGACGCCGCATCCACAGCTCTGACCACAGAAACATGAACGATGACAGCGGTCCAAACGCTAACCTGTAGGGAAACCGCAGACGGCTGTCATCTGGTAAACAGCTAATTTCTCGAGAATAATATATATAATAAATATAATCTGAAAATAATCCAACTCTAGTTTCATTTCTAGCATTTGCATGTCATAACAATATATACAATAATGATATAACAAGTGATACCATGAACACGTCTACACAATGATACACGATGATGCAACGATAAGTTCACGATGTTGCTGATAAATACGAGTATTTATTACATGCATGCACTGTACTTACATTACTTATATTACTTACCTTAAGTACTGATATTGTCCTCCTGACTTCGGAACCATAAGTCCTAGTTCAGCGTAGCAGAGTACTCCTAAAAGGGTGAAGATACCACACCCAAACCAAACAGCTAGAGCCATACCTGGGGAACCTAATAGGACAGAGACATGGGCTGAATTATCTCACTTACAAGCATATCCTTGATGTAATGTGACGTCAGATAGCACGCATGTACAGATATGATTATCAAGTAAACATTATTAAACATCTGTCACAAGACTGAGCAAGGATACACAAGATTGAACACGTACATATATAGGAATGATTATACTTATGTGCATTCTGTATGTTGACAAAGCAATTCATACTTGACTGCTGAATGACATTACTTATCTGATATTCTCATCAACAGATTGCTATTTATATTCACTAAAGCCTAGAATTTATTTGACAACAGTACATAAAAGTTATTCATTCTCTTGTTCAATGGATGCTCAACAATAGTACATTATTTAATTTGCCGTAAAACCGAGTGAAGATCTGCAAAACTTTGATGAACTGCTAATGGCAACAAGGTTCTTCACTCACCGGCATGTGCCAGCACATTCTTAGGGGTCGTGAAGATTCCGGCACCGATGACGGCGCCCGTGACAAGAGCAACGGCCCTCAGCAACCCCACCGACTTGTGTAAGACATGATGCTGCTCATTCACGTAAAAATCACCGTGCTGCTGTGTGGATTGTGCACCCGTACAAGAATCCTCTTCCTCTTCATCCTCATGCATGTCTTGTGCTATACCACTGCACTGTGAAATAGAAGCGAGAAAAAGAGGTTACTTGATTTTCATGTCTTGATTTTGGTAATGCCTTTTACACCCACCATCTACTGGCAGTGGCTGATTATACGTCGTTCCGGAGATCTTTGAACCAAGTAAACCAATTTAATGCCATAATGGGTTTGATTCTGAATGATGAAGCCCATTTCATTTGTATGGTTAATTTGGTTCATGGTTCATTTGATAGTAGCCATGGGAATTCTGCTGCCGGACAGGTTCCTGTTGTGGAGCGAAGAGCTACACAAGTAAAGCTGCTAAGTAAAAGGCAATACTGAAAGTAACCGGGATATCTACCGAGAAGAAGAGCTATTGTCGACTATTGTATATTATACAGCAGGCTGAGCGGTTCATGGAGCGCTGAGCGAGCTGCGTTGGTCCAGTAGTTAGTTAGTTAAGGATAATGGGTTGTAATAGGCCTAGCCTAATGTGCACTCATATCTGGCGGTTTCCTGAATCGGTCGATTCTGGCCTTAAATTCGTTAGTCGTGGTAGCTGCGACTGCACTTTGTGGCGGTTTATTCCAGGGTTGCACCACTCTCTGGCTGAAAACGTTTTGTCGCACCTGGAGTATGGATTGTTGTTTATATAGTTTCATGTTATTTCCTCTTAGTGATGTTTTTGAGGCTGGACAAAAGAAAGTGTTTGGATTCAGTTTATATTTCCCTGTCATAATTTTGTATGATTCTATTAGGTCGCCTCTTAGTCTTCTGGTATGTAAAAATTGTAATCCTAAAAACTTCAGCCGGTCCTCGTACTTGACGTTTTTTTAACCTATATACTAGTTTGGTGGCCCTTCGTTGGACTTTTTCCATGTGCTCAATGTCTTTACTAAAGTAGGGAGACCAGGCCTGGATGCAGTACTCTAGGTGTGGACGTATAAATGTTTTGTATAGAATCAAGAAAGCTTTCTTGTCCAGGAACTTGAAGGACTTCCTGATTGACCGTAATACGTTGGTAGCTGTACAGGCTGCCTATATGCACTGCATCGTAGGTTTCATGTCGTTATAGATATCCAAACCCCAATGTCCTTTTCCTCCTCTTCCTCCTTCAAAATTCTTCTTTGGTCCCCGTCTTTCATTGTGTAGATATATTTGTTATTTTTACTGCCTATGTGCATCCTTTTGCATTTTTCAACGTGAAATTTCAGGAGCCATGTTTCTGACCACTCACTTAATTTATCGAGGTCTGTCTGCAGAAAAATATTGTCTGTGATATGTTTCTTACTATATTCCAAATTTTTGTATCGTCTGCAAACATTTTCAACTTACAATTTACAAGGTCTGGTATATCGTTAACATAAATTAAAAACAGGATTGGACCAATGACTGATTCTTGAGGTACCGTACCCAGCTGTCGACGCTGCTCCACTCAGAAAATTCTCAGTGCAATGATACCCGCATCTTTCTGTCTGTCAGGAAACTTTCCAGCCATGCGATTAGGTTTCCCCTGATTCCGTAGCCTTTTAACTTACTTATGAGACGGCGGTGTGGAACCGTGTCGAAGGCCTTTTGGTAATCCAAAAATACTGTGTCCACCAAAAAAACACCACAAAAAAACATCATGTGCAAGTCCAATGCTGATGTCCACGAAGACGGGAATATAGTCACAGGCTAATATAGCAATTTTCTGCTCTTATATATGAGAGCAAATGTTTGTAGCCACTGTTCGCTAAGGTATATAGTAGCAAAATTTGTAGCTGATACAATGGCTACAAATCTGCTACATATATATAGTCATCGAATCTGTAGCTGATACAATGGCTACAAATCTGCTACATATATATAGGCATCGAATCTGTAGCTGATACAATGGCTACAAATCTGCTACATATATATAGGCATCGAATCTGTAGCTGATACAATGGCTACAAATCTGATACTACTATATAGGCATCGAATCTGTAGCTGATACAATGGCTACAAATCTGCTACATATATATAGGCATCGAATCTGTAGCTGATACAATGGCTACAAATCTGATACTACTATATATGCATCGAATTTGTAGCTGATACAATGGCTACAAATCTGATACATATATATAGGCATCGAATTTGTAGCTGATACAATGGCTACAAATCTGATACATATATATAG